CTTTCCATTTTAAGTCTTGCACCGAGTCATGGACCTGAACCTCCTGCTTTCTACGTTCGAGCCATGAAGGATGCTGCTGCCGCCGCCTGCAGCCACAGGCCATGACAGGGAAGAGTGGCTACTCTCTTGCATACCTTGGGCGTCATGTCCCAGCTGCTGCAAAAACGTTCTTTTGTCCCAGATGAGCTCTTAATCGCTGTCGTCAAGGGCCACCTGGATGATGCTGCCGCCGCCTGCAGGACTGAGCTCCAGGGACAGCTGGCCACTCTCCACTTCGCTGGGTGAAAGAGCTGGAGGACCGTGAGGAGGTATAGCTGTCAGGGTGGGTCTTCTCCTTAGCAGCAGGTGGGCTCTGTGGCTCAGGCCAACTCTTGCCTTTTGTGGATTCTGAGCTCACTGTTGTGGTTTCTCTTGAGGCATCTTCAGTGGCCCAGGACTGCCTATGGCTGCCGTTGCCCCTTCCGCAAGCCACGTTTCTCCTTTTATGGCCTGTGTGCTCATCTTACCTATGAAAGCTTAACCATCGGACAAAAGAAGATGCATGAAGCTGATTGGTCAGACAATGCCTGGGTTGATGGCTGAGCCTGGGATGTTTGGTTACTGTTTCAAATTTTCTTATTTTTTTTAAATTAATTTTTATTAAAGTTTTCCTTTTAACATTGAAAGAGTGGGAACAATCTCAGTGATAGTAAAGTAGGAAAATAGTTGAAGTGAGGGTTCGAAGTGGGGGCAGACTGGGAAGAGGTTGGGCAAAGGAAAGGGGGAAAGGGGGGAAAGAAGGGGGGATGGGGGGGAAGAGGGGAGAGTAGTGAATCTCTGGTAACTTCCGTTCGGTCCACAGAGGTTGTAGCTTTCAGTTTAGTTGCTTCTTTTTTAAGTATTCTTTAAATTGATTCCAGTTAATTGAATTCCTCTTGTCCTGATTTTCCAGTAGGCACGAAAGTCTGTCCATGTCCATAAACTCTATAGCCTTCCTTATCCAATCGTCGTTTGAAGGTGTTTCCATTGTCTCCCATTTTTGGGCTATTAATATTCTTGCCGCTGCTGCCAGATAGAAAAGAATCTTTTCCTCATTTCTCTTCAAATCCAGGTTTGTTATATTTAGTAGATAATATTCGGGTTTCATGTCAAATTTCGTTTTTAATATATTTTGTATATGTCTGTGGACCGATATCCAAAATTTTTGGATCTCATTGCAATTCCAGAACATATGGTAGTATGTTCCTACTTCCTTTCTACACTTCCAGCATGTTTGGTTACTGTTTCAAATTTTCTTTCAGGCTGGAGCTAAGCAGGTGCAGAGAGCAAAAGAGAGAAGCAGAGAGACAGATTTTGGCGTGTACTCCTGCTTCAAGAGCTGCTGAAGGAGTTTATCCAAATGGACAAGGAAAAACTATTTTAAATCTCTCATAAAAGGACATTGTGTGAGTTGATGTGCAAGTGTTCACTCTGTACATGACTTGTTCTGAACTAAGAAGAATAAACTACGCATTGTTTACTGTTCACCTGTGTGGCATATTTTCTTTCTCTTAGCTATGTGTGGGCTGTATTAGTTGTCTATTTGTCTGACATGGGAGGGTCTGTTAGCAGCAAGCCTAAAAGCCCTTTAGAGCTCATGTTAGCACACTTTGACAAAAGCTTTGGAAAGCTAGACTATGGAGAACCACTAAGGCCCAGTAGGTTGCAAACTTTATGCCAGAAGGAATGGGTTAAATTTAACATAGGTTGGCCAGAAGAGGGCACTCTTGATCAACAAATCATTGCTAGTGTCTATGATAAAGCAAGAGGAGCAAATCCTTTTGAGGGAAGTTATCCCACACATATCCCATATATCCTAGCTTGGGGAGATGTGGTGAGCCAAATGCCAGAATGGCTGAAGCCTTGTGCTTTAGCACATTACAAAACTCTCCTAGCACAGAAAACTAAAGCTCCTATTCTGCCATGCCCTGTTGAGGAAGAAATCATTGTACCTCCTCCTTATTCAACTGGGGAGCTCATAGCCCCCCAGGCCCCTGCAAATCCAGCCCACGATCCAGCAACAGTAAGCCCTCCAACGCACCCTATGGCCCCAGCACAACTGTACCCAGATCTCCCTGAAGATTTAGATGATGACACAGACTCTACTATGACTGAGTCTTCTTCAACTCCTTCCCCTGAAAAAGAATCCCTACAGGCAAAGGCAACTCTGAAAGCAGCAAAAGGCCATGACCATAACTTAAGGAATATGGACAAGGCAAACAAGAAATTGGCTACAGTAATGCCCCTTCGTCAAGTGAGGGAATTCATAGGGACTCAAGTTGAGGGTGGACAAGTACCTTGGTTCCGGCCAGCTTTTACGCATGTGCCATTTACCAGCTCAGCTCAGATCTTTTCAATTGGAAAACACACACCACCCCCTTCTCTACAGATCCAGGACCAATGACAGATGTTTTCACTAATATTGTCAATACACATGACCCTACATGGCAGGACTGTCAGCAGTTGATGACGTCCCTCCTTACTACGGAGGAACGTAAGAGGGTCTTAGCAGCTATGAAGCGGCAGACTGAGGCTAGGAGAAATGCTGCTGTTAACCCAGTTGACCACATGAGGGAGAATTGTCCAGAGGCTGATCCACAGTGGGATCCTAATATAGCAGCCCAATTGGCTCGAATTCATCAGTATGGCCAGTTAATGATCCAAGGCCTTGCAGAAGCTGGAAAAAAGCCTAGTAACTTATCTAAAGTAAAAGAAATAAAGCAAGGTGCTGATGAAAGCCCAGGCGCCTACCTGGAAAGGCTGTTAAGTGCCTACAGACAATACATGCCTTTTGATCCCGCAGTGGAAGCAAATAGAAACATGGTGAATGCTACTTTTGTAGAACAAAGCGCCCCAGATATTAGAAGAAAGCTACAGAAATTGGATGGGTTTGCTGGAATGAACATGTCTCAATTAATTGAAATTGCTAATAGAGTCATGGCAAATAGAGATCAGGAAGAGAAGAGGGATAAACAGAGGCACTGAGGGAATGGAACCCAGGAAGAGGGCAAAGCAGAGGGCGAAGCAGAGGGCGAAGTTATGGGCCAGGAAGAGGACAGCCCCTCGGGCAGAACCAATCTGCCAACTGCAAGAACAGGGACATTGGAGGAGAGATTGTCCCCAGATAAGAAGAGGGAGAGGAAGAGGACACCCACAAGAGCAGAGAGGAAGAGGAAGTGAGGTGCCCGGAAGACAGAGACCCTTCTATCAAGAAGCACGTGAGCAGCCAGGGGAAGAAGGATTCATTGGATTGGCCGGAGGCCCCCAATGGTCAGGGCCAGAAGAGGACTGAAGCCAGTCCGGGGTTCTAACCTTGGGATCCAGGGAACCCTTGGTCAAGGCAAAAGTAGGATCCCAAGAAATAACATTCCTAGTCGACACAGGAGTGGAAAAATCAGTAGTTACCACCCCATTGGCCCCCATAACTCAGCAAACCATAAAAGTTATGGGAGCAACAGGAGACCAATGTCTCCGACCTTTTCTACAGGAGAGAAGATGTCAGCTAGCAACTAAAGAAGTCACCCACAGTTTTTTATATATGCCTAACTGCCCAGTTCCATTGCTGGGAAGAGACATGCTATGCAAACTAAAAGCAAGGCTATCATTTGAGGAAGTCTTTTCTGGGTCAGAATGAAAGTCCTCCAAGTCTTTTGCTAGGGAAGTTCCAAATATCATTGGTGAATTTTTAAAACCTTGAGGCAATCTTGCCCAAGAATATTGTTGTTTTGCTCCTGTGGCTGGGTCTTCCCACTCAAAAGCAAACAACAACTGGCTTTGGGGGGCTAACCTTATGGAGAAAAAAGCATCTTGAGGAAGATGGATCTGCTAAGATGGCTTTAGGAAGAACCACAGGCCTTTTGCACCTCACCTGCCCCATGGAGGAGGAATGGAGGCTGCTAGTAGTTAAAAAGGGCTCAGAGAACAATGAATGGGAAAAGTTTGAAACTCCTGAGGTATGGGCAGAAGATAACCCCCCAGGCATGGCCAAATACATACCTCCGGTCATAGTAGAGTTAATCCCCGGAGCCCATCCAGTCAGTCTAAAGCAGTATCCAATTCCCAGACCAGCAATAAAGGGAATCCAAAAACATTTGGACCGTCTGTGGCAGCATGGCATTATAACAAAATGCCAGTCTCCATGGAATACACCACTCCTTCCAATCAAGAAGCCAGGTACCACAGATGATTTTCGCCCTGTTCAAGACCTTAGAGAAGTCAACAAGGCAACAGTTACCTTGCACCCAGTTGTGCCAAATCCTTATGTGATATTGGGACTCATACCAGCAGAGGCCACACATTTTACAGTCCTTGATCTTAAAGATGCTTTTTTCTCCATAAGGTTAGCCCCCCAAAGCCAGTTGTTGTTTGCTTTTTAGTGGGAAGACCCAGCCACAGGAGCAAAACAACAATATTCTTGGGCAAGATTGCCTCAAGGTTTTAAAAATTCACCAACGATATTTTGAACTTTCCTAGCAAAAGACTTGGAGGACTTTCATTCTGACCCAGAAAAGACTGTCCTTTTGCAATATGTAGATGATTTACTTTTGGCCTCCACCTCAATGGAAGAGAGTTGGGGTGCCATCCAGCGGCTACTCCAATTACTTTGCCATAAGGGACTGAGGTAAAATACTTAGGATTTCAAATAAAACAAGGATTTAGAAGCCTAGGAACTGAACGAAAGCAAGCCATCTGCCAAATCCCAGTCCCCACTACGAGAAAGAGAGTCCGCGAATTCTTAGGGGCAGCGGGATTTTGTAGAATTTGGATTCCTGGCTATGCAGTATTGGCAAGACCTTTGTACCAAGTTACAAAGGGGGGTGAAAAAGAACCCTTTAAATGGACACAAGAACAGGACGAGGCTTTTCAGCAAATAAAGTCGGCCCTGATGACAGCACCAGCTTTGGGCCTACCTGATGTAACCAAACCCTTCACTTTTTATGTTGCTGAGAAAGGGGGTGTAGCCATTGGCATTTTAACTCAGACTTTGGGCTCCTGGCCATGACCAGTGGCCTATTTGTCTAAACAGCTAGACATGGTAGCAAAAGGATGGCCCCGATGTCTACGCGCAGTAGCAGCTGCCACCTTAGTAGCTGAAGAAGCCCGGAAGTTGACCCTAGGACAGGATTTGACCATCAAGGCCCCGCATGAGGTAGTGACATTGTTAGAGCACAAAGGACACCATTGGCTTACCACCTCCAGAATGCTGAAATACCAGACGTTGTTATGTGAGAATCCTCACATTAAGGTTCAGCAATGCACTACTTTGAATCCTGCTACCCTCTTACCTATAGATCCCCATATGGAGAAACATCATAGCTGTATTGAAGTAATGGACACAGTATATGCCAGTCGACCTGATTTGACTGATGTTCCATTGCAAGGAGCTCAGCTCACCATATACACTGATGGCAGTAGCTTTATGGAAGAAGGGGAGCGAAAAGCAGGATATGCAATAGTTACCATCAAAGAAATATTGGAAGCAAATCCACTGCCAGCAAATACATCAGCTCAAAAGGCTCAGCTCATTGCTCTCACCAGGGCTCTGGAGATAGCAAAGGGAAAGAGAGTTAACATATACACTGATTCAAAGTATGCCTTTTCAGTACTGCACGCCCATGGTGCACTTTACAAAGAAAGAGGACTTTTAACTGCAGCAGGCCAACCAGTCAAACATGCAGAAGAGATATTACATCTCCTAGAAGCTGTATGGGCCCCAAAACAAGTAGCTGTGATGCACTGCAAGGGACATCCACCAGGGCAAGATCCGGTAGCACAAGGGAACCGAAGGGCCGATGCAGCAGCCAAAGAAGCCGCTGCCAGACCCCTTCAGGTGGCTACCCTTCTCCCCTTGCCCAATCCCAAGGTGCAGCCTACCTATAATAAAGAAGAACAACAATGGGCCCAGGACAATGGAGCAGTAGAATTGGCAAACTCTACTGGTTGGTTAGCCTTTCCGGATGGAAGAATCATTGTCCCCAGAACCATGGCCTGGGAAGTAGTAAAGGGAGCCCATGAGTCAACACATCTAGGAAAAATGGCGCTAGCTAAACTACTAGAAAGACAACTGTACATAGATGGACTCCACTCTTTGACAATGGCAGCTTCAGCTAGGTGTCACACCTGTGCTAAGAACAATCCACGCCAAGGGCCGCGCCAGCCCCCAGGCATCCAGCATTGTGGAAATGTACCCTTTGAAGCCATTGTTGTAGATTTCAGTGAAATGCCTAGAGTAGGGCGATACCGCTACCTACTGGTGATGGTAGACACTTTCACTGGGTGGCCGGAAGTGTACCCTACTGTTACCGAAAAGGCCACGGAAGTGGCAAGAGCACTCATGAAGGACATAATCCCAAGGCATGGGATGCCAGCATTCATAGGCTCAGATAAGGAAGTAATGCTACCCCTCTATTCTGCTTTGGTTAGACCACATCTGGAATATTGTGTCCAATTCTGGGCACCACAACTCAAGAGAGATATTGACAAGCTGGAATGTGTCCAGAGGAGGGCAACCAAAATGATCAAGGGTCTGGAGAACAAGCCCTATGAGGAGCAGCTTAAAGAGCTGGGCATGTTTAGCCTGAAGAAGAAAAGGCTGCAAGGAAGCCATGTATAAATACGTGAGAGGAAGTCATAGGGAGGAGGGAGCAAGCTTGCTTTCTGCTGCTCTGGAGACTAGGACGCAGAACAATGGCTTCAAACTACAAGAAAGGAGATTCCATCTGAACATTAGGAAGAACTTCCTGACTGTGAGAGCCGTTCAGCAGTGGAACTCTCTGCCCCGGAGTGTGGTGGAGGCTCCTTCTTTGGAAGCTTTTAAACAGAGGCTGGATGGCCATCTGTCAGGGGTGATTTGAATGCAATATTCCTGCTTCTTGGCAGGGGGTTGGACTGGATGGCCCTTGAGGTCTCTTCCAACTCTTTGATTCTATGATTCTATGATTCTATACTACTCTTGACTTCCCTCAATGTTGGTTCTTGACTGCCTTTCCCATCTTCTGCCAGTGTGTGTTTCTCTTCTTCTACCGTTTGTTTCCCTTGCAGAAGGCCTCTCTCTGCCTCCTGATTTTCTGGGCAGGCAAAGTCTGTCAACATTACTACGCAGGTGTAATGCATAGTGGATTGTCATCAGTTTCCTTGTTTTTCTGTCCAGATCATCCAGCTCTGCTTGTGTCCAATTCCAGCCGTGTATCTAATGACAGGGATGGCCCAGGTGTTGATAGCCTTGATCGTATTTCCGCCATTTAATTTGCTCTTCAAAACCTTTCTGACTCTTTGGATATATTCTTTGCTGACCACATTTTTCATTTGCCCATGCTTGATGTTGTCCAACTATAGTATGCCCGGATATTTATAGGCTTCAAGCTGATTGCACGTTATGGTTTGTCCGTTTGGCATCTCTATACCCTCGCTGTGTGTAATTTTCCCTTTTTTTAATGCCACTGTAGCACATTTGTCTAGACCAAACTCCATACTGATGTCAGTACTGAAGATTCTGACTGTGTTGGTCAGTGACTCGATTTCAGTTTTAGATTTTCTGTAAAGCTTTAGATCATCCATGTACAGGAAGTGGGAAATTTTTGGTGAATTTCTTGCTGTTTGGTAGCCAAGGTTTGTTTTCTGTAGAATTACAGAAATTATTATTATTATTATTATTATTATTATTTTACTGACACAGAAACACAGTATGTCACAGCAAATGAGATCTCTATGCTGGATTTCGTATCACAAAATCACAAGTCGAACACTTCCCAAACGTCTAGGACTGTGTGATGTATTTTCAAATTATGTGCGCAGATCCAAGTAAGGTGGCCTTTTGCAGTTGACAGATCGTGATTTTGTCAATGTTTATTGTTTCCAAATGCCAGCTGAGATCTTTTGGCACAGCACCCGGTGTGTCGATGACCATTGTGACCACCTGTACTGGTGTATGCCAGAGCCTTTGCAGTTCGATTTTGAGGCTGAGTTTTTCCTGTTGTTTTTCCTCAATGCGACTGTCACCTGGAATGGTGACATCAATCATCCAAACTTTTTTCTTTTCCACAATCATGATGTTTGGTGTATTGTGTTCCAAAACTTTGTCAGTCTCGATTCAATAGTCCCACAGTATTTTTGCATGTTAATTTTCCACTACCTTTGCAGGTTGATGATCCCACCAATTCTTTACTGCTGGTGATATCGAGCTAGAATTTAGTGGCTCCCACCCAGGAGAGAGGAGCCCTCAGACCCACCAATGAGGATCTAATACTCTGGTGAGCAAAGGAAGGAGCCAATAAAATATTCCCAGATTTTTTCCAATAAATCTCACCAAAGTTGAAGAAAAGCCACCGAGTTGTTTTCATTTCATCCAGTTGGTACGGATGCCAAACCGCGATAGTTCATCAGGAGGGACACACCATACAGGGTAAAACTGTACATTTTTATAGAAAATACAAGCCTGTAAATTTTGGATTCCCCGCCACCCGCCCACTTGCTGGCTTGGCACTGATTGGCTGGCGCTCTACAGCTGGGAGGAAGCTTGGCTGCCTCTTGAGCGCCTCAGCCAATTGGTGAGCTCGCGCCGCTTCAGCCTCCTGGCCAATAAGGAGAAGGATGGGCGGGATGAGCAGAAAACAATGGGGACTGAATGGATTAAAATGGTTAATTAATTGTCCATGGGCTGGCGAGTCCCCTTGGGGGTCTTCTAGCTGGCCAGGTATTGTGATGATGGGTGAGGATCAACATCTTGTGTCTGGTGTAACCACCAGGATCCGGATTTTATTGAGGTCAGGATATGAAGGCAATAGGTGTGATCTAAGTAGCAGTTTTGGTTTGGGAAGTAAACAAAGGGCGAAGCAACTTGGGGCTGTTCACCCCTTCGTGGAATGATGGGATCAACCGAGTGGACACTTCCCCAGGAGGACCGGCTCCGAGGTCTGGGGGATATATCTTTTGTTTCTGCCATGCAAGGAGTTTCTGTCCTGGTTTCTTAATCAAAGGATTATCTTCCCCAGAGAGATGAGAAGTTTCCTCTGGCCTCTTGTGCCACATTTGGGACATAAGAAGTGGCTTTTCATATTTTCATAGAAATACATACACATAAGGTTCAGGGGAGATACATAAGGGATAAAAAGAAATTTCATATACACCCATCCCACCCACCAGAGTCGAAAAGAAAGAGTTCATAATCATGAAATCATATCGTCCCTTGATTATGAAAGGGAGTCCAAAGGACTTGGGGAAGAAATTCCAGATAGTTTTTAAAATCCTTGAAAATTTGGGAAAGTTGGTCAAAGTTATAAGATTCAGGGAAGGCAAGTGGGAAAAGGTGTCCCAATGTCCATGGAGTCCTTATGAGCCAACCACCAACGTTGGGGATCATGATCCACGGAGAGGACTACAGATCCCTCCACACCAAGGACCAAGGCAGCCCGCCGACATCTTGGGGATCCTATGGGTTGACTGCGACAGTTTCCCAGGATCAGCAGGCTCCTTGGACATCCACAAAATGGTGGCAACGAGGCAACGTCTTTGGAAAAACAGCTGGGCTCCAGGTTGGGGTTTCAGAGACAAAAAAGGTTATTCCTGGGGCAGAGGGGGCAGCGGAGTGAAACCAAGATAGCCATTAATCTTAGAATTCTCCCAGGAGAAGAATGACACTATTTTTTAAGCAATCCGTTGACTCGTGGATATGGGGGCACGAGGGGGCTTCCGTATCCGCGGTTTAAAACAACACAGTTTCGGCCTCCCCGGGACGTAGTAAGACGTAGTAATCTGCAGCCCAGGAGAAGAAAGTTTTATGGAAAGAGGGGTTTGAGGCAGTAAAGGGACACAAAGTAACACCATGGAGAGGAAAAAGGTTACAATTAATTGATACTTTTTATTGGGGGGATTAGTTACAATGTTAGGAAGGGGGGACGGCAAAGAAATGAGAAGGCCTCTGAGTTGCAGCTGCTGCTGTGGCCATGCTCATGCAGTTGGCCCAAGCGGGGCAATGGAGAACTGATCTGCTCCAAGTCAGATCAGCTTGAAGGCAGGGAGTTCTGGGTTCGGCCTCACTGGCAGATGGTACTTGTGACATAAGTTCCAGTTAATCATTTGGGCCACAGAGTTGTGCCTCTGTTTGTAGTCCATCTGTGTGATTTTCTTCCCATAGCTGAGGAGATGTTCCATGGTTTCACCCACTTTATTTATTATTAATATTAATAATATAATATTAATAATAATATAATAATAAGGTATTATTATTATTTTACTGACACAAAACCACAGTATGTCACAGCACACAAGATCTATATGCTGGATTTTGTATCATAAAATCACAAGTCGAACCCTTCCCAAGCGTCTAGGACTGTGTGATGTATTTTCGAATGATGTGTGCAGATCCAGGTGGTCTTTTATTGATGTTGTTATTGTTGTTGTTGTTGTTATTTCTTGCCAGACACTCTTCGCAAGTCAGGGGAGGTGAAAGGTCTCTATAGGAGCCTTATAGAGTTTGATTTTTGAGTTTCCAATAAGGCTGGGCTATTCTCTCCTTCTTTGCCATAGCATTGGATGCGCTCCCTTGTCCTACCTCGCAGGGCTGTTGAGAGGATAGGCAACACAACTCCAGGGATTTCTGGTAGACACTGATTATCTAGATCTGGCACAGTCTGGCTTTAGACCGGGACATGGAACGGAAACAGCCTTGGTCGTCTTGGTACAGCCTGTGTTAGACGGGGTTACGCTCCCCCTGAAGACACAGGTTCGCAGCTTGGGAGTGATCCTGGACTCATCGCTGAGCCTGGAACCCCAGGTCTCAGCGGTGGCCGGGAGAGCATTTGCACAATTAAAACTTGTGTGCCAGTTGCACCCGTACCTTGGGAAGTCAAATCTGGCCACAGTGATCCATGCTCTTGTTACATCCCGAATAGATTACTGCAATGCACTCTACGTGGATTTTGATTCAGGGGGAGCTGAGTTTGATTCGGGGGTGGGGGGGGCGGGGAGGGGGGCTGAGTCTGAGTGAAAGAGGGTCTACCCTAGCAAACCTTTTGTATCATTACCCCAATACCCCCATGCATATGGGATATATTGAGCATGGTGATCAGATCATGATATGAATAAACATAACAGTTTAAATAATGTACCAGTAAGGCCTTTCGCAGACCACCATGAGAATTTCGGCTACATACGGTATGTTCCCAAGCCCCCCCCCCCCCAGCTACATGCCTGACTGCAATGCACTCTACGTGGGGTTGCCCTTGAAGACTGTTCGGAAACTTCAACTGGTCCAGCGAGCGGCAGCTAGAGTACTCACCGGAGCGTCATACAGGGAGCACACCACCCCCCTGCTGTGTCAGCTCCACTGGCTGCCGGTCCAGTTCTGAGCACAATTCAAGGTGCTGGTTTTGACCTACAAAACCCTATACGGTTCCGGTTCAGTGTATCTGTCCGAACGCATCTCCCTCTACGTCCCACCCCGGAGTTTGAGATCATCTGGGGAGGCCCTGCTCTCAACCCCACCGCTATCACAAGTAAGGCTGGTGGGGACGAGGAGCAGGGCCTTCTCAGTGGTGGCCCCTCACCTGTGGAACTCACTCCCAGGGGAAATTAGGTCATCAGCATCCCTCCTCTCATTCAGGAGGAAAGTAAAGACATGGTTGTGGGACAAGGCCTTTGGGCAATCTGACAATTAGATAAGGACAATCAGACGATTGGACTGACAGGACTGACAAAGTGGAATTGGAAACTGGACTATGAGATGGTGAACGCTGACCGTTAATGAGGTGCAGTTGGTTTTTAGTGGTTTTATCGGCTTTATTGGTTTTATTGTTATATGCAGAAACTGTTTCTTAACTGTTACTTGCTGCTATATTGTTTTATACTACTGTTATGTGATGTCGGCATCTAATTGTGCCTTTGTAAGCCGCCCTGAGTCCCCTCCAGGGTGAGAAGGGCGGGGTAGAAGTAACCGAAATAAATAAATAAATAAATAAATAAATAAATAAATATGTAACTTAATAGGGACGCCACTATTTTCCGCTTCTCGGGTGAAGGCCTTTGGGTGCAAAACACTTTTATTTATCTCAACAGAACAGAATTCATGGGGACGGAAAGGAGGAAAAAAGCTGCCAACTGCAGTTGAGCCACAAGAAGAAGAAGTCGTGTTCTCTCCAAGTTTTCAAAGTCTGGAAGGTTTTGATAAGCAAATACAGGCTGGGCTTTGGGCTTCCTCATTGGCTCTTCTTTTGGCCACCAGATTTGGACACCAATATAATCTGATTGAAAAATCAGGGAGGGGAATGGAGCAAAGGGAGGAAAGAAAGAAAGAGAGAACGAGAGAAAGAAAGAAAGAAAGAAAGAGAGGAGGCTGCCATTCGTCCAGCACTTCGTGAAACAGGTGAGGAGGAGGAGGAGGAGCCATCCCATAATAAGCAGTCCATTATAGGTTATCATTTGCCAAGTAAATATATACACTATACAAATATAGTAAATAAATAAATAAATAAAGTTATAATTAGAGCTTATCACGTCATGATGATGATGATGATTGTGGTGGTAATAATAATAACAACAACAATTGTTAATGTTTAATTCCATTTTAACGTCAGGTTTTCGTGTCGTACTTATATATTGATTGATTTTATTGATATGTATTTTATTATACATAAATTGTATTATTTTATGTATATATTTTATTATACATAAATTGCATTTTTAAATTTACTTTGATATTTATGTATTTTATTATTTTATTGTGCATAAATTGTATTATTTACTTATATATTGATTGATTTTATTGATATATATATATATTTATACATAAATTGTATTATTTTATGTCTATATTTTATTATACATAAATTGCATTACTTCTATACTTACTTCGATATTTATGTATTTTATTGATATTTTATTGTGCATAAATTGTATTATTTACATATTTACTTATATATTGATTGATTTTATTGATATGTATTTTATTACGTATAAATTGTATTATTTTATTTATATATTTTATTATACATAAATTGCATTACTTCTATACTTACTTTAATATTTATGTATTTTATTGATATTTTATTGTGCATAAATCGTATTATTTACATATTTACTTATATATTCATTGATTTTATTGATATGTATTTTATTACATATAAATTGTATTATTTTATTTATATATTTTATTATACATAAATTGCGTTACTTCTATATTTACTTAGATACTTATGTATTTTATTGATATTTTATTGTGCATAAATTGTATTATTTACATATTTGCTTATATATTGATTGATTTGATTCATATGTATTTTATTATACATACATTGTATTATTTTATTTACATATTTAAATTGCATTATTTCTATGTTTACTTTGATATTTATGTATTTTATTGATATTTTATTGTGCATAAATTGTATTATTTACTCATATATTGATTGATTTTATTGAAATATATTTTATTATACATAAATTATTTTATTTATACATTTGCTTATATATATATTGATAGTATTTTTATGATATATCAATTTTATTCCTGTATTTATATATCTACTGAGACCCTTTGGAGTCTCTTCTGACAGTATGATAGATCATTTTATAAAATATAGTGTATTCTATGCTGTAAAATGAATGCACTTTAATTGCCTGGGTTTAATGCTATAGAGTCGTGGGGATTGTAATTTTGCAAGGCCATGCTTATGATAAAGCATGGCCTTGTAAAACTACAATCCCCATGACTCCGTAGCATTGAACCCAGGCAATTAAAGTGCATTCATTCTGCAGCAGAGATGCATCGCAAGTTTTTCTCTTTCTATTATCAGAAGCTTTTGTGCAATAACACTTTTGTTATTGCCCATTCCATTTGGTAGCAAATCCTTCTTTTGACCATTGAGTTGCGCATAGGATTCAGTGCAGAGGTTCAGTTCCTTGTGGTTGGAGGACATGTTTCCCAGGGGCCAAAATTTGCTTTTGACCGTTACCTGTTGTTGTTGTTGAGGGGAAATGCAAAGGAGGATGCAAATGGGTCCCTTCGTGGTCGCCTTCCAGCACATGGTGCAAGCAGAGGCCTTTTGCCAGAGAAAGACGCCCATTGCTGCTCACACTGAAACCAAAGGGAAACACCATTTGAAATCTCAAAATATAACCTCAAAATAAAATTAAATATTATTATTATTATTATTATTAATAATAATAATACTATGCTTTTTCTCTCCAAGAGACAGAAAGCTGCTTACATTAAAACAGAATTATATTATCATTATTATTATTATTATTACTCTGCTTTTTCTCTCCAAGGAAGAGACTCAAAGCTGCTTATATTAGAAATTATTATTATTATTATTATTTATACTCAGCTTACAATAAAACCAAATGAACCTACAATTTGAATTTCAAAATATACCAACATTAAAATAGAACTAAATATTACCTATTATTTATTATTATTATTATTATTATTATTATTATTATTATTATTTGTCATGTCAGGAGAGACTTGAGAATCTGCAAGTCACTTCTGGTGTGAGAGAATTGGCCGTCTGCAAGGACGTTGCCCAGGGGACGCCCGGATGATTTGATGTTTTATCATCCTTGTGGGAGGCTTCTCTCATGTCCCCGCATGAGGAGCTGGAGCTGGTAGAGGGAGCTCATCCGCCTCTCCCCGGATTCAAACCTGCGACCTGTCGGTCTTCAGTCCTGTCGGCACAGGGGTTTAACCCACTGCGCCACCGGGGGCTCCTAATAATAATAATAATAATAATACTCCTAATAATAATAATAATACATTGTAATAATAATACTATTATTATTACAATGATATTATAATATATTATTATTATTATTATTATTAATACTCTGCTTTTTCTCTCCAAAAAGAGAGTCAATGTAGTTCACAGTGACGTAATGAAATAATAGTTGTTGTTGTTATTATTATTATTATTATTATTATTATTATTATTATTATTATTTTAAGTCAGTTTCACTGAAAACCGCTTTGAGTTTTGGAGAGAAAAACTAATATAAATAACAATACTATACTAACTATGTCACAAAATTGAAAAAAAAGTGTAACATAGTTAGTCACAAACGTGTAAGTAGTTCCAGTATAATTGTGAGGTCCTTATGCTGTAAGTCGTTGTTCAACTCCAGAAACTTTGTTTTTGTGGCCTCAAACCGGTTGAGACTCGATGATGACATATTCATTGAGAAACCAGAGCAAAATCAGCTGTGGCAGGATGATGTCCCTCCCGCAAAGACAAAGCTTGGGCAGTTTAATAAACTTTCCCCATGTTTTGATGATAGCAAATTACATTTATCACCCAGGAACAAAAATCATACTGTTACCGAGTGTTGTGGGTTGGTTTAGTGGCCCAGGGTGTTGCAGAGAGGACTGAGGGAAATGATGACATGGGTATGCAGATGATTCCTGGATTGATTTAACAGTCGGCATATCATCCTGGCCAAGATGGTAAGGAGGTCAGACTAGATGGCCTTTGGTGCCCCCCTCCTCCTCTAAGGCCAGTGTCCCCTTCCTTCTTTACCTCCCTTTATTATTTTATAGAATGCCACGCTCCTTCCTGGTGCGGAGCAAGAGGAGAAGCAGGTGGGACCCCCCACCGGATACAGTGGGACCCCCACCCCAAGGTATATATACTGGTTTTAGAGGGCCTTATCGTCTTAAATTGTTTATTTATTTCTGTTTACATTATTGTGCTATTTTGTTTTTATTGATTGACAATAATAATAATAATAATAATAATAATAATAATAATAATAATAAAAAATCACACAGTCCTGGACGCTTGGGAAGTATTCGACTTGTGATTTTGTGATACGAAATCCAGCATATAGATCTCGTTTCCTGTAACATACTGTGGTTTTGTGTCAGTAAAATAATAATAATAATAATAATAATAATAATAATAATAATAATAATAGCAGAGGCTGGATGACAATCTGTTGGGAGGGCTTGAATTGTGTCTCCCTTTATGGCAGAAGGGGGCTGGGCTGGATGAACTTTGGGAGTCCCGTCCAACTTGAGGCTTCTTTGTTAATACACCGTTAAGTGTGATTCTGCTCAGCATCTTGTGAGCTTGTGTGGGAAGAAGGTCTGTTATCAGGTGTCAACACTCATAACAAGCCTATGGAAATCCTGCTTTGGGGAAGGCTGGGCGCCTGGGCGTCATTTGCTTCTGCTTTGCATGCCTTCTAGGGAATCTGAGATGTCATAATCTGTTCCCAAACATACGGGCTCACATCACCTTCGGGGGGGATTCGAGGTCATGTAGACATCGCTCTATACCAGTTTCAAATTACTGCACCAAGTCATTGTTTATATCTTTGGTGGCATGGAGAGAAGGGCCTGAGGCCATTAGGAGGGGAGAAGACATGAAATGTATTATTATTACAAAGATCTTGGAGTCCTCGTGGACAACAAGTTAAACATGAGCCAACAATGTGATGTGGCGGCAAAAAAAGCCAATGGGATTTTGGCCTGCATCAATAGGAGCAAAGTGTCTAGATCTAGGGAAGTCATGCTACCCCTCTATTCCGCTTTGGTTAGACCACACCTGGAATATTGTGTCCAATTCTGGGCACCACAATTCAAGAGAGATATTGACAAGCTGGAATGTGTCCAGAGGAGGGCGACTAAAATGATCAAGGGTCTGGAGAACAAGCCCTATGAGGAGCGGCTTAAAGAGCTGGGCATGTTTAGCCTGAAGAATAGAAGGCTGAGAGGAGACATGATAGCGATGTGAGAGGAAGTCACAGGGAGGAGGGAGCAAGCTTGTTTTCTGCTTCCCTGGAGACTAGGACGTGGAACAATGGCTTCAAACTACAAGAGAGGAGATTCCATCTGAACATGAGGAAGAACTTCCGACTGTGAGAGCCGTTCAGCAGTGGAACTCTCTGCCCCGGAGTGTGGTGGAGGCTCCTTCTTTGGAAGCTTTTAAACAGAGGCTGGATGGCCATCTGTCAGGGGTGATTTGAATGCAATATTCCTGCTTCTTGGCAGGGGGTTGGACTGGATGGCCCATGAGGTCTCTTCCAACTCTTTGATTCTATGATTCTATGATATTATAATATATAATTTTTGTATTATAGTATTTTTATATTATTTTAATATAAAACCTTAATCTTATTTTTATATTATTATACTATATCATTATATATTATGATAATATATTATTTTTATTATTATGTCAGTATTACTATGTTACATTGCATTATAATTAAGTTGTTATTTATATATTATTATTTTATTATGATTATTATTTGTATATTATTGTAATATATTATTATATTATATTATTATTACTATATTGCATTATATTATTCTTATTTTTATATTATTATTATTATTATTATTATATTTTTATTATTATGTCAGTATTACTATATTACATTATATTATAATTGTTATATTATTGTTATATTTTTATTTTATTATGATTATTATTTGTATATTATTTTAATATTATATTATATTATAGATATTATATTATTATTACTATATTGCATTATATTATTCTTATTTTATATTATTATGCGGAGGACCTGATCAATGCAGTTTAAGTGGTCGGATCATAAAGGGCAAGCGACCATATGCTCCTGCAATTTGAGGTACAAAGGAAGGCCAAAACTAAGGCAAGTCAAACCTGCATTTTGGACTTTCAGAGCTGACTTCTGAAAAATGAAGGAAATACTGAGCAGCATTCTGTGGACATAGGGAGTTATGGATGGATGGGAGTTTTTCAAGAGTGAAATACTCAAGGCACAATTGCAAAACGGCAACAAAGAGAAAAAATAGGCCAAGTGCAAAGAAGCCAGAATGGATGTCCAAAGAACTTCTAACTGTGCTAAGACACAAAAGAGACATGCACAAGAAGTGGAAAAAGGGAGAAATCACCAAAGAAGAATTCAAACAAATAGCCAACACCTGTAGGGAAAAGGTCCGCAAGGCTAAAGCACAAAACGAGCTCAGGCTTGCCAGGGACATTAAAAACAATAAAAAGGGATTCTTTTCTTATGTCAGTAGAAAAAGGAAGAACAAGGAGGTGATAGGGCCTCTTCGAGGAGAAGATGAGGCAATGCTGACAGGGGATAGGGAAAAGGCAGAACTACTTAACACCTTCTTTGACTCGGTCTTCTCACAAAAAGAAAGTCATCTTCAACCTCAGCAAGACAGAGTGGATCAGGGATTAGAGGACATCCAACCCCAAATTGGATAACAAATCATCGATTCTATGATTCTATGATATTATAATATATAATTTTTGTATTATAGTATTTTTATATTATTTTAATATAAAACCTTAATCTTATTTTTATATTATTATACTATATCATTATATATTATGATAATATATTATTTTTATTATTATGTCAGTATTACTATGTTACATTGCATTATAATTAAGTTGTTATTTATATATTATTATTTTATTATGATTATTATTTGTATATTATTGTAATATATTATTATATTATATTATTATTATTATTATATTTTTATTATTATGTCAGTATTACTATATTACATTATATTATAATTGTTATATTATTGTTATATTTTTATTTTATTATGATTATTATTTGTATATTATTTTAATATTATATTATATTATAGATATTATATTATTATTACTATATTGCATTATATTATTCTTATTTTATATTATTATGCGGAGGACCTGATCAATGCAGTTTAAGTGGTCGGATCATAAAGGGCAAGCGACCATATGCTCCTGCAATTTGAGGTACAAAGGAAGGCCAAAACTAAGGCAAGTCAAACCTGCATTTTGGACTTTCAGAGCTGACTTCTGAAAAATGAAGGAAATACTGAGCAGCATTCTGTGGACACAGGGAGTTATGGATGGATGGGAGTTTTTCAAGAGTGAAATACTCAAGGCACAATTGCAAAACAGTGCCAACAAAGAGAAAAAATAGGACAAGTGCAACGAAGCCAGAATGGATGTCCAAAGAATTTCTAACTGTGCTAAGATTCAAAAGAGACATGCACAAGAAGTAGAAAAAGGGAGAAATCACCAAAGAAGAATTCAAACAAATAGCCAACTTCTGTAGGGAAAAGATTCACAAGGCTAAAGCACAAAACGAGCTCAGTCTTGCCAGGGACATTAAAAACAATAAAAAGGGATTCTTTTCTTATGTCAGTAGAAAAAAGGAAGAACAAGGAGCTGATAGGGCCTCTTTGAGGAGAAGATGAGGCAATGCTGACGGGGGATAAGGAAAAGGCAGAACTACTTAACACCTTCTTTGACTCGGTCTTCTCACAAAAAGAAAGTCATCTTCAACCTCAGCAAGACAGAGTGGATCAGGGATTAGAGGACATCCAACCCCAAATTGGATAACAAATCATCCAGGAATACCTGGCCACTCTAAACGAGTTCAAGTCCCCAGGGCCAGATCAACTACACCCAAGAGTATTGAAGGAACTAGCAGAAGTCATTTCGGAACCATTGGCAATCATCTTTGAGAGTTCTTGGAGAACGGGAGAAGTTCCAGCAGATTGGAGGAGGGCCAATGTGGTCCCAATCTTCAAGAAGGGAAAAAAGGATGACCCAAACAATTACCGTCCGGTCAGCCTCACTCGATACCAGGCAAGATTCTGGAAAAGATTGTTAAGGAAGTGGTCTGCAAACACTTAGAAACAAATGCGGTCATCCTAATAGTCAACATGGATTTATCAAAAACAAGTCATGCCAGACTAATCTGATCTCTTTTTTTCAATAAAGTTACAACCTGGATAGATGTGGGGAATGCCGTTGATGTAGCTTACCTGGATTTCAGTAAGGCCTTCAACAAGGTCCCCCATGACCTTCTGGCAAGGAAACTAGTCCAATGTGGGCTAGGCAAAACTACGGTGAGGTGGATCTGTAATTGGATTTGGACGAACCCAGAGGGTGCTCACCAATGCTTCCTCTTCAACCTGGAAAGAAGTGACAAGTGGAGTGCCGCAGGGTTCCGTCCTGGGCCCGGTCCTGTTCAACATCTTTATTAATGACTTAGACAAAGGCTTAGAAGGCACGATCATCAAGTTCCTGACTGTGAGAGCTGTTCAACAGTGGAACTCTCTGCCTGGAGTGTGGTGGAGGCTCCTTCTTTGGAGGCTTTTAAACAGAGCTGGATGGCCATCTGTTGGGGGTGCTTTGGATGCGATTTTCCTGTTTCTTGGCAGAGTGGGGTTGGACTGGATGGCCCACCAGGTCTCTTCCAACTCTAGGATTCTATGATTCTATTATAAAATATATCAAAAGATATATTATAATAATATATAATAATAATTATAATTATTATTATTATTATTATTATTATATATCTTCTCATCATGTCAGTATTACTATATTGTATTATTAAATTATATAATAATTAAGTTGTTATAATATTATATTATTATTGTTATATTATTATAATTATTTGTATATTATTGAAATATATTATTATATTATATTATAGATATTATATCATTATTACTATATTGCATTATATTATTCTTATTAATAATGATAATAATACATTATATGGTGTTTTATGTTATATATTATATATTATTATTCTTCCTAGGCCTGGCCCAGCTGCTGCCAAGCCCACCTACGGAAGCAGAGGCGGAGAGCGCCAACGTTCAGCCCCACACCATCAGCATCAGCAGCCCTGCCAGTGGGACTCGGACGCCAGGTCAGAGATCATGCCCAGGCTTTTGGGTGGTCCGGCCAAGGCATTGGCCCCGCAGGGCAGTGGCGCAGTGTGAATGTCCCCTTCCTTTCCCCCTACAGAGTGCAGCAGCACAATCAGCAGCCAGGACCTCTGCAGGGAGGGCTTCTCGGGGCCCGGCCTGGCCTTTGGCTTCCGCCCGGGGCCACCCTCCTTCCACCTCTTTGGGGGGCCTCTGCCATTGCCACTGATGGAGTCCCTCCCGCTAGACTACAGCCTGCGCTTCCCCCCAGAAGTGGGAGGGGCCTTCCACTGCCTTGCCTGCAACAAGGTACGCTCAGCGGGTGGGAGGGGCGCCCAAAGGGCATCCAGTCCAACCGCTCTATGTATATGTCTATAGCTATCATAGGATTTTAGAGTTGGGTGAGGAACCCAAAGTCCAACCCCTCTATGCCTGTATCATCAATGTCTATAACTATACCTATGTTTATAACCCCCTCTATGTATATGGCTATATCAATAGCTATAACTATGCCTGTCATAGGATCCTAGAGCTGAAGGGGCACCCAAAGGGCATCCAGTCCAACCTCTCTATGTATATATCTATTATTGGATCCTAGTTGGGAGGGGTACTCAAAGGCCATCCAGTCCAACCTCTCTATGTATATATCTACTAGCTTTACACGCCACGCGTTGCTGTGGCCAACCTTCTCTCCCTCTTTCTCTCCTTCTTTCAGTCCTTCCTTCATTTCCTTTTCTTCCTTCTCTACCTGTTTACTTCCTTCCTTAGCTTTTTGCTCCCATCCTTCCTTCTCTTTATTTCTTTCCTTCCCTCCCTTTCTCTCCTTCTTTCTCTTCTTCCTTTGCTCCGTCTTTCCTCCCTTCCCTTTTTTCTTTCCTTCTCTCCTCCTTCCTTCTCTTCCTCTTTCCTTCCTCCTCCCTTTTTATTTTCCTTCCTCTTTCTCTCCTTTCTTCCCTCTCTATCTCTTTCCTTCCTTCCTTCGCTCTTGACTTCCAGACTTCCTTTTCTTTCTTTCTTTTCTTCCCTCCCTTTCTCTTCTTCCTTCGCTTTTTCCCTCTCTTCCCCTTCCCAAATTCCCCTTCCTTCCTTCCTTTCTTCCTTCCTTCCTTTTGACACCTTCCCTTCCCCTTCTTCTTTTTTTCTATCTTTCTTTCCTTTCCTCCTTCCTTCCTTTCTCCCTTCTTTCCCATCCTCCTTCTCTCTCTGTATTCTTTCTTTCCTACCTTTCTTCTTTCATATACCTTCTCAACTTCTCCTTCCTTCCTTCATACACCTTCCCTCCCTTCCTTCCTTTCTCCCTTCTTTCCCATCCTCCTTCTCTCCCTTTCTTCTTTCTTTTCTTCCTTTCTTGTTTCATATACCTTCTCAACTTCTCCTTCCTTCCTTCCTTCCTTCCTACACCTTCCCTTCCCCTTCCCACTTTTCTTCTTTCTTTCCTTCCTTCTTTCCTTCCTTCCTTCCTTGCTATTTACACCCCTTCCCCTCATTTCCGTCCTTCCTTCCCTCTCCCGCTTCCTTCCCTCCTTCCCCTTCCTCACCGATGGCGGAGCCAGACGGCGGTGTGCGGGGGCGGCCTGGGCTGGGCGTTGCGGTGGTCGATGGGCTGTCCTCGGCAGAGCCGGGCCGCGGCCTCTCCCGGCCGGGCCAGGAAGGCGTGCAGCGGGGGCCTCCCGGGCAGCCTCCGCAGGTCGCGCAGCATCCTGGCCCCCAGTGAGCACAGCCGGCCGAGCTCCAACTCCCAGGCTGGGGCTTCAGCGTCAGCGGGTAGGCCGCGTTCTAGAACTACAGTTCCCAGAGTGCATTGCGTGTGTACTTCCTCCCCTGGGCACTGTGCATGCTCAGTGGGTTTTTGTAATTGTGAGTTTGTTGAAATGTTGTTTGGAATTTTGATGAGTGTTGTGTATACCTTGTGGGTTGAGGTATGTGCACGGCAAATTTGGTGAGTTTTCGTCAGGGGGTTTTCGCGTTTTGCTGTCCCGTTGAACGCCCTTTCCCTTTTTATATATATAGATTCTGGGATTCTAGTTGGATGGGGCACCCAAAGGCCATCCACTCCAACTCATCTAGAGCTAAAATTTAGGGGTCTTTGCCAGGAGGCAGAGACTAATTAGACTCCTCAAAGAGTTCTTTTTCCCTGGTGAGAAGAGAAACACCCAATATTTTTCCCTGATTTCCCAATGAAAAGTCTCACCAAGTTGAAGAAAAGCCATCGAGGTTTTATGTGCGATTCAGCTGAAAAGGATGCAGAGCTGCAATCATTCGCCAGCAGAGCATGAGGAGAATACACCAATGCAGTCATATTTATAGTAAATTCAAAATTGCAGAGTTCAAACATCCCGCCCCGGCTTCCCTGTTGTTCCCCGCCGTGATTGGGCGATGGGTGAACAGCTGGGAGGCGGCCCTCCCGCCCCCGATGCCTCTGGACCAATCAGGAAGCTCTAGTGGTCCGTAGGATCCAATGGGGAGACCTCTGCCCCCTGGCGGCAAATCAGGAGAGAGGGAGGCAGGACAATAGAACACAAAGGAATCTGTGAATTAGTTTTGAAAAAAATAATGCCATGTGGCTCACGAGACAAAAAGGAAGTCTCCAGCAGGGCTGATCTATTGTGTCCATGAGTGTTGTAAATCAGCATGTGTAAAAATATCCAGATCCTTCCTGGCTGTGAGACAGGAGAACAATTGATGGCAGCCTGGAGTTAATGCTATCAATGAGAAGTAAACAAAAAGCAGAGGGGAAGATTTCCCCTTATCTTACTTGAAGAGTGATAGAAATTTTGCCAAACAATTCTTTACTCTAGTGGGCCATCTCCCGTGCTAGAGATAAGAATCTCCTCCTATTATCCATGCAAGTGTGTCTTTGGCTGGAGGTTTCGGTAATCGCTAATGGCTTTTGTTTCTGAAGGCCAAGTGGTTCCCTGACATACTTCTTTGGAGGGAGAAGGGGGCAAAGGGTCAGGAATACAAGGAAACATAAAACTCATATAGAAATTATACACAGGGAAATCATATGCAGGTATCTTCCCATCCAGGACCCCAGAGGTAAATTAATATTACCAATTATAAAAAGCAGACGATATCAGGACACAGCATGAATTCAGAAGTTGTCTTGAAGTAAGTTCATGGGTAGAGAGCGAGTCCTTGAAGAGAGTGGAGTCCAGGAAGGTAGCAGAAATCAAAAAGCCACCAAAAGGAGTCTATGGAGTTCCACTGGGCCAAAACACAAAGCCTTGCAGCGCTGAGATGGAACCCTGTCCAATGGTCCTTGGAAAACTGTAACTCTTTCCATCGGCTGGAGCCCAGGGACCAATCTACTCCCTGAAAGCCTCATGGGGTCCTTGCTGTTGTTAGTGTCTTTGCATATTGACCAAGACTCAACCCCTATTGTGCAGTCTGGTGCCCTTGCCCTTTGCAGAACTATAAGTTACTATCTCTTATGGGGGGGGCATGCTCGACTTCACAACCTCTTCTAGGTCTATTTTTATCTGTCTATCACAGGATCCTAGAGTTAGAAGGGGCACCCAAAGGCCATCCAACCTCTCTATGTATATATCTATTCTGGGATCCTAGTTGGGTGGGGTACCCAAAGGCCATCCAGTCCAGTTGAGCCTTCTCTAGGTTTATGTGTATCATAGGATCATAAAGTAGGAAGGGGCACCCAAAGGCCATCCAGTCCAACCCTCTCTATGTAAATATCTATTCTAAGATCCTAGTTGGAAGGGGCACCCAAAGGCCATCCAGTCCAACCCTCTCTATGTAAATATCTAGTCTGAGATCCTAGTTGGAAGGGGCACCGAAAGGCCATCCAGTCCAACCCTCTCTATGTAAATATCTATTCTGAGATCCTAGTTGGAGGGGGCACCCAAAGGCCATCCAGTCCAACCCTCTCTATGTAAATATCTATTCTGAGATCCTAGTTGGAAGGGGAACCCAAAGGTCATCCAGTCCAACCCCTCTATACCTGTATCATCTATGTGTATACCTATCCCTATCATAGGATGCTAGAGTTGGATGGGGAACCTAAAGGACATCCAGTCCAACCTCTCTATGTTGCTATCATGGAGTCATAAAGTTGTGAGGGGCACCCAAAGGCCATGCAGTCTAACCTCTCTATGTAAATATCTATCTCTATATCCATCATAGGATGCTAGAGTCGGAAGGGACACTCAAAGGCTATCCAGGCCAATCTCCTCTACGCATATATCTATAGCTATAGCTATGCCTATCATAGGATCCCAGAGCAGAAGGGGCACCCAAAGGCCATCCAGTCCAGCCTCCCACTCTATATATCTATCTATCATGGGTTCCTAGAGTTGGGATGGGCATCCAAAGGGCATCCAGTCCAACCTTTTCTACGTATATGTCTATATAGCTATTTATATTTCTATATCTATCAAGGGATCCTAGAGTTGGGAGGGGCACCCAAAGGTCATCCAGCACAACCCCTCTATGTCTATATCTATATCTATATCTATCGTAGGATCCTAGAGTCAGAAGGGGCACCCAAAGGGCATCCAGTCTGAACCCTTCTATGTCTATATCTATATCTATGTCAATCATAGGATCCTGGAATCGGAAGGGGCACCCAAAGGGCATCCAATCCGACCCGTTCAGCCAGGCAGGAAGATACAGTCAAAACGGCCCCAACAGATGGCCATCCAGCCTCTGTTTAAAACCACCTAGAAAGGTTTAATCACTATAGAAGTGAGTGCTGGTGATGTTCGAATGTTGAGACTGTCATACCATTTATAATGTGCACAATTTGCAGAGTCAGTGGCCGTCATTACCACAAAAATGGATAAGGTTTCTAATTAAGGAAAGAGAATGTGTTGACCATGATATTTGTGACGAACCCCATGGAGCGGCTCAAGAGGAAACTGCACAGGAGTCAAGGGCAGCATTCCAGACCTCATTTGTAAAGACTACATATAAAAAAATAGAATATACAATATAATATAATAAATTATATGCATCATACACAATTAAATATAATGAATATATAATGTGAAATAATATAATAAATAATTATATTATAATATATAAAATGAAATAATTTAATTAATAAATATTAGAATATAATATAACATAATTAAATATAAGAAATATAAATATATAATATGGAATAATATTATAACTATGTGTTGCTTTATAATATATTATATAATACATTGAATAAAATATATAATTCAATAGAATAAATATATAATGTGAAATAATATAATAAATAAATAATATATAGGTTCTTGTGGGTTTTTTCGGGCTATAGGGCCATGTTCTAGAGGCATTTCTCCTGACGTTTCGCCTGCATCTATGGCAAGCATCCTCAGAGGTAGTGAGGTCTGTTGGAATTAGGACAATGGGTTTATATATCTGTGGAATGACTGGGGTGGGGCAAGGAGCTCTTCTCTGCTGGAGCTAGTGTGAATGTTTCAGCTGACCACCTTCATTAGCATTTGAAGGCCTGTCTGAGCCTGGGAAAATGTTTTGTTGAGAGGTGTTAAGATGTGCCTGGTTGTTTCCTCTCTGCTGTTTTGCTGTTGTAATTTTAGAGTTTTTTAATACTGGTAGCCAGATTTTGTTCATTTTCATGGTCTCTTCCTTTCTGTTGAAATTGTCCACATGCTTGTGGATTTCAATGGCTTCTCTGTGTAGTCTGACATGGTGGTTGTTGGTGTGGTCCAGCATTTCTGGTTCTCAAATAATATGCTGTGTCCAGGCTGGTTCACCAGGTGCTCTGCAATGGCTGACTTCTCTGGTTGAAGTAGTCTGCAGTGCCTTTCATGTTCCTTGATGCGTGTCTGGACGCTGCATTTGGTGGTCCCTATGTAGACACATAAATAATATATAATTAAATATAATAAATATATAACAAAATAATCTTATAAATATATGTTGTATTGTTTTATATAATATTATATAATACATTGAATATAATATATAATTCAATAGAATAAATATATAATAGCAAATAATATAATAAATAATATATTGTGATTAAATAAAATATATAATAGCAAATAATATAATAAATATGTGTTGTATTGTTTTATAATATGTTATATAATTAATTGAATGTAATATATAATAAAATAAAATAAATATAAACATATAATTGAAATAATAGAATAAATAAATATTGCATAATGTATATATATAATAAAAAGAATATATATAATATTATAATATCTACAACACCATTATATTTATTATATTATATTATAATATATTTATTATATTATTTTACCCGTATTTAGGCCCCTTTTTTGTGTGTGTGTCTCTCTCTCTGTGTGCCAGGTCTTCTCCACAGCGCATGGGCTGGAGGTGCACGTGCGCAGGGCCCACAGCGGGACCCGTCCTTTTGCCTGCAGCACCTGCGGGAAGACCTTCGGCCATGCGGTCAGCCTCCAGCAGCACAACAGCGTCCACTCCCAGGTGCGTCCATCTG